TTATAATATTCAGGTTTGAAGTATAAGCATAATATTCAGGTTTGACGTACAGACCGTTGGTTGTGGCTGCCGGAAGTCATGTTTTGCGATCGTTCCGGGACGTTGATCGCAGTTTCGAAAACCATTCAAACGATATGCATATTGTGAGCATTTCGAAAATAATGTGGACGTAAGTGATTTATTTGCAGTACGCTCAAGTTTAGTAATTCTGTTTTTCTTATAATCACGGGTGAATTTAAGAAATTTTCGTCAAATTAAATCTTTTTTTTGTGTGACCATAGTATCCTGCTGTGATGTCGCTTATACTTAGTTTACTTGGAATATCATCTAAAATTCTTAGCCTGGTAACTTCTCTAGTTATGCAACTAGTAATTTTTCCAGTTGCTCTGACCAAAATGCTGCGTTGTCTGGTCGGCCTGCTGACGATCCTGACGCTCTTTTCGTTTCAGATTTGGGTCTTTCTTTAAGATGTGCATAGGATTAATTGAACGCACATATTTTGAGAAAAAATTCAGAACATGAATTCAGAAGCTTATTTTATATTTCTTTTTGGACTGCCGAAAAATATTGTTTTTTTTTTCTTTTTTGAAGGCGTTCTCAAGCAGACGGTGATCCTGTGGATGCGGTTGATCTGACAGAGGAAATGCCTGGTGAAATCGCCAGTGCCAACGATCTCGGCATCAAGAGCATAGTCGCCGTTAAGGTTTTTTGATGAATCTCTTATCATCTCTTTTGATTGAAAATGGATGCAGTAGTGAGTGTGACAACGTAAAAATGAGGGAGGAAGAAAGGGCTGTCGAAACTGGTGAAGAAGCGGCAAGTGCCAGTACACTCTTCTCCTATGTGTCGATGCTCAGGGAACTTAAAAATTGGATTTACTTTTCTGAATTCCATTCATGTTGCTTAATTCTGCCCCACAGTTCTAGCTCTGTTGTGAGATTGTAAGAACACGAAAAATGTATGAACATATATGTGCCCTGTTTTGTCGATATACGTCCATTTCCCATTTTCGGAATGCTTGAATTATCTGCTTCTCCAGCTATGCATCTGGCAAATTTTCCAGTGTCTATGCGTTCCCTTTCAGTCGAATGAAAACAACTTAAACTGACCGAGTTGAGCAAAATTATAGTCGTAAAATGAAATTATTCATTCGGCAAATAGTTTTAACCTTCAAATATTCGTCGGATTTTTCAGTTTTCGAGAGTTTTTTTTTGAGGGTTTTTTAAAATTTAGATTTTTTTCAATTTGTGCACTTTCAGGTGAACCATGCAAGAAATCCGTGTGGCTATGTATTTACTGATTGCACAGATCAAAAATTTGTTTTCTCGGGTGATACGATGCCCTGTGCGCAACTGGTGAAATATGGCAAAGATGCTGTTGTTCTTGTGCACGAATCAACTTTTGCGGACGATGAGGAAGTGAGGAAGT